GGCCTGGCTTGGCTTGGCTCAAATGGGCCTGGCTTGGCCTGGCTTTTGGCCTGAAGCCGGGCCAGGCACATCACTAAGTTCAAGGCCAAGGTATTCCAACAAGACGGGCGCTTTAGCATCTCTTTGCAGAGTTTCCCTATGATACCATTGACATCCAATGTCTGAAAGTTCATAAAGACAGGTCAAAGCCCTGTCCGAAGGGGGTGCTTTGCATCTATCCCGGAAGATTCCAAAGGCTGGATCAAATAGGGCGAGAGGGATTGTCTCAGGCTCAAATGGCCGGTTAAGAGTGATGAGGGGTTGTCTTCCTCCTGCGATCTTTTGAAAAATGGCAGGATGAGCTATAGATGACGGCCCCGCCTTGCGAATGGCTTGCTTCAAACGTTTGGCATTAATGGCGTCTTCCTCTTCATCACGTGGGTGTTTAGTCCTTGAAGCGACCTTGTATGCGAAGTTGGAAGTAAGTACAGCATGAACTCATACATTCTCACCTGTTGCTGCACACGACCACGCAGTATGACGTGTATATATTGGGCTTCAGGCTTTGATTTCCAATAAGTAGAGATATACTCCGAAAATTTTAGGTATAATGCATCGTTATCTTCTCTGAGTGGCTCAGCTGGTTCTTGCAATGATAAATTGGCGACAAGTGTTTGAGTTTCAGGCTCTTTGAGTAATGCTGAGATAGAAGTGACTGTTTTCCAGAGGCGAGGATACGAGGTGAAATGAACATATTTCTCTACTTCTCTCACCAATTTGGAGACAGTGGATTCGGGAGAGACAACGACAGGGACAAGAGGCTGAAGAACTGCATCTTCTTAATCTACAACAACGCAGATAAATTCCCAAAGCTCGGCGGCAGGGGTCATTAACAGTGTGTTCTGAGTCTCGACAAAAACGTCACAGGTCACCGGTCACCGGTCACAGCTGACTCTGCTAGGTGTACGAATTTCTGACGACGGATAAATTGTTGGGGGAAAGAGTGTTCAAAGTGAAATGCGAAAGCTATCACTCTGGCTCTTGTAAGCGCAGATCCGGAAGGAAAACAACTCCACCAGATCGCAGCTTAGGGACTGGGTGGGTAGGTTAAAGCGAGAGGAGAGAGAGAACGGCCCAATGTCTCGTCTCACTATGTATGACGATACGTGATCCTCTCGCTTTGTCAGCCTCCCAGAGCCTCAGGCCTCAGGCCTCAGTACTCAGTAGTGAGCTCCTTTCGGCTCATTCCCATGTGTGTGGTCCCTCGCATCAACGAAGAGAAAGCGGTCTGAGGCAAAGCAAAAAAGGGGACACAATGTGAAAAGCATTTAGTTGTCCATACCACTATCGGCCGAAGTGGCTCAAAAGTCTTGCTCGTATGAAAGAAAAGTTGACCACCGCAGGGGTCGAACCTGCAATCTCCTGATTACACAAAGTCGTAGTCAGACGCGATGCCATTTCGCCAGGCGGCCTTAGCAAAAAGGTGTTTTTAGCTGTACATCATGGTTACCAAAGAGTCCAGTGGATAATTTGTTTTTTTGGTCAGTGATGATCTCCTTCATGCCTCGTCGTCGCTCAACGAAAGCTCGCAGAACCAGTGGAAAAACACAACCCTTGGACCGTTCTGGCGACAAAATTACTAAATGGAACAAGGCTTCCGACATTCCACTGGACGAAGAAGACCTTTGTATGTTTTTGCAAATGAGATGATATTATCGTGCTCTGCTGAAGTCTGTATAGTTCATGCCTCAAGGGATAAAGTGCTCTTGGAAGGCGAGAATCAATGGCAACAGG